TGGGGGTTAATGAGAGCGTAATGAAGATAAATGATCATCCATAACTCTGTTGGACTCCCTAACTCCCAGAGCCATGTCCTGTCTGTGAACCCAGATACCTTTCAGGTAAATATAGTTCATCCTTGTATATCCAACTTCACCGGGACCCAGCACAGTTCAGATCATTGACATCTGCATACTCTGGATGTGTTGTAGAATGTATTTTTTTCTATATAAATGATTAGCCATTGTAAAATTTCAATGAGACTGTAAACAGTTGCATAGAATCCAGTTTACTGTGGATCAAGCACTCCCCGTTCAGATGGAGGAAAAATTACTTTATCCTAATTGCTTCACATAATAAACTAGAGATTTCAATAAACAGGCCAGGATAAATGGTTTGTTTGGTATAATCAAATCAGTTTACAAGAATCAAAGGAAGCCCAGGTGATCGCATTTCTGTGCAACTTTTGCACTGAGCTCTGGTACTCACTTAGATATTTACACATTGCTGAAAAACAATATATCGTGTGTGTATTTTTGTGTATACCTTTATTTTGTACAAACTTGTTAGAGCGTCTATACCAAAATGATTGTCTGCTGTCCTAAATAGTCGTTAGGGGTTAACAACCTTACTAGAAGTATTTTGTAGACTTCCTAGCTTGAAATTATCTTCAAAGAGAGTTAATCATCTATCATTTTATATTTTATATTTACCCCTAATTTTGGCCCAAAATGTTTCTTGCCAAGTGGATCATCTTCCTTATGCATTAGAGACATCCCAGTAACTTTTTGGCTGTTTTATCAAGTCAAATTTACCTTAAAGGTTCAAGATTTGTCATTGATGAATTCTTGAAGTGGGCATCAAGCTTGGTGACTAATACCTCCAAAGTTGTCCTGACGATCTTTTGTAAAATRGTAGCATCACAGGCTCTGAGATATAGATATTTACAGTTATTTTTAACCTTTCTGGGGTCTTAGATCCACATGAGAATGTGATCAAAAATTATTTCCTTCCAAAAACTTAACATATGAATATATAAACACACTTTTGTAAATCTTGCCAAAAGGTTTTATGAATTCCTGGAGCACACGCAGGGATCCTCTGGGGCTAAAAATGTTTGTTCTAAGTGAATATTTTGGGAAAAGATACTATTTATTTTGATTTATTGCATAGATATGTTTATAAAAATTTCAGTAGTTTCATCATTTTTCATCACAGATTAAATTCATTCATGTACTAGTCCATGTAGATATGTGTGATTGACTGCATTAAAAGTAGCCTACTTTGGGGAATTTCTATTTTATGGGTTTTTTTCATTTTATTTTAATCAATTTTAAATATTCTTTTAAATCTTTTTCAATTTTCTTTATGGGAGGGTTTTTAAAAAAATTCATGAAAGCATTTCCTTTTTATTCTTGTTAATCTTCAAAGCACATCTATGTATAGTCCTTTGGCTTGAATATTTGATTTAATAATTGCATTTAAAAAATCTTTAAATATGACATTGACCTCAAAGATTCTGAAAGTCAGAATCTACATATAAATTTAATTCTAGTTTCTGCTATTTATTAAAAAAGAAAAAAACACTGATTAAATATCAGAATTAGATAATAACTTTTGTGTTTTTTAACATGACCAAATGATAAGGTACTACAAGAATTTAGTATAAACAACTACATTTTTTTAGTTGTAGATGGACACAATATCTTATTTATTTATTTATTTATTTATTTATTTATTTATTTATTTATTTATTATGTGGTGCTGAGGATCAAACCCAGTGCCTCACGCATGCAAGGCAAGCGCTCAACCAGTGAGCTACAACCCCAGCCCCAAACAACTACATTTTTAAGGGTAGTTTATAGAACTTTCATAGAACTGATGGGCATCTTAGTTATTGAATTTATAGTTGTAAAATAAAAGGACTGGTGTCTTAGTTCATGTAGATTTCTATAACAAAATTCCAAAAACTGTATAACTTGTAAACAACCAAAAAACATATATTTCTTACAGTTCTAGGAACTAGGAAGTCCAAGATCAAGGTGCTGGCAGAGTTAATGATGTCTGGTTGAAGACCTACTTTCTAGTTCATAGACAGAGCCTTTTTTTTTTCTTTTTTTGATACCAGAGATTGAACCAAGGGGTGGCTGAGTCACATCCCCAACACTTCTTATTTTTTATTTTGAGGCAGGTTATCACCAAGTTGTTTAGGTTCTTGCTAAATGCTGAGGGTGGCCTCAAACTTGCAATTCTACTGCCTCAACCTCCAAAGTGCTGGGATTACAGGCACACCCAGCAGATAGCCTTCTTTCTGTGCCTTCACATAGAGGAAGAGATAAAGTGTCTCTCAAGCCTCTTGGTAAGGGAACAATTTTCTTCATGACCTATTCAACTCCCAAAGGCACATTCCCTAATGCCATCACTTAGGGATTAGGATTTCAGCATATGAATTTGGGGAGAGGGAGACACAAACTTTTAGACCATAACAAACAGAAAGTATTTTCTTTCTCTCTCATGAGTAATTATTTCATATTCACATACCATAAAGCTTGCATTTCCCCCCTAAACAGAAAACCTACACTGCTGCTGTAAACCCATAACTAAGCATAATGTTTTAAGATCAATGATTTAAAACATAAAGAATCAAATCTAGTCTTGCTAAAGTCCGTGGAAGTTCAAATAGCCCTTTTAATAGAGTAAATCTATAGGAACAATCTTCCATAGCTACCTGGTTATTTGTGAATACTATCACAAGCTTATAGTTTTCATCCTACGTTATTGACAGATGTGCAGATAGGACCATTTCAGAAGAAGAGTCTCACATACAAGACAGACTGGGTTTGGAGATGTGTCATGTTGACATGAAGTCCTTGTCATCAAGTGAATATGTATATTTGTGTGCACACATAGAATACACTCAAATATTGCATCTCTGAAATGCATACTCGCTTCACTGGTTATATTTAATTTATTATCAGGATACATCTTAGCATGGGGATATCTTGGATTCAATGAAATGCATTATATAGATTACATACAGAACATCAGCTCAGAAGGTGCCTTGGTAATGTTAAATCAATCTCCCAAGGAAATTGAAAAGGGTAATTTGCTGAAGACACAGATTTTGGTGTCAAAAACAGATGCATCCCAGTGATTAATTTTTCAAATGCTTTCCACTCATGTGAATCATTTGATCACAAGCTTTAAAAATGAATGTAAATTATCTTTTAAAAAACATTTCTTAAGTAATATGTGGTGCAGAAACATACTGTTTATGTAAGTTAAAAAGCGATTAATTATTGTTCAGTGAAAATGAATAAATTCCAAATATATGTAAAATCTTAGATAATCCTAAAATGTTAATACTGAAATGAGTGTCTAAAAGACAATATATCAAAAGATAACATTGTCCTATAAATGAGCAAAACTAAAACAATTTCACATTTAAATTGTAGCCTAATAGAGATAGTTCCTTTTTCAATCATTGTTTATTTTCACTATTAATGTAGGAAAAAAGGCATTTGAAGGATATTTTTTTTCAGTCCACATGTTAGCTCCAAAATTTAAAAAGCACATTTTAATGGGAGTTGGTTTAAAACAATTTGACATGAGTGAGATAACAATTTGAAAAATGTGTCTATACTCAGTTTTGCTTCTAAATTTTGACTTTTAAACTTATTGTCAGTCTCAGAAAGAAATAAGAAGCAGTGAAGATAATTAAACATTTGCCTTGGGGGAATTATTTGCAGTTAATTAAAACCATACACTTCGGGTGTATACTTGCTTCACTGGTTATTAAATTTGAATCATATGTTAACTACCCAGGTTTCTCACTTGTCCATCAAATGTTGCTTGTGGCAGGGCAAAGAAACAAATTTTCCCATAATATTCCAAACCATAACGTTTGAAGCTCTCTGTCTCCAAGTTTTGAGAGGGAGGGAACAAAAGAAAGAGAGGGAAAGGGAAACAAGGAAAGAATGATTATTTTAGACTCTAAGTCATCGCTCTTGAAATGCAACTTAGAGATACAAACTCAGTAGAGAACTTATTTTTAAACAATACAGGTGTAGGTCTGTCATTTCCAGCTTTTTCCGTGGCCACATGCAAACAGGATTAACTAGGGGGTTTTAGATATTTTTTAATTACCTTCCTTTTGGCTATTTAAAAATATCTACTAGATTGTAAGCTCTATGAGGGCAGAGTTTTAGTTGTATGTTCCCTATTGACTCTCTGGCACCCAGAACAGTGCCTGCCATATGGTAGCCCTTAATAAATATTTACAAATGAGTAACAGACCTATTTTATGCATTCCTGCTGACCCATTCATTGGCTCAATCCAGTGTCTTTTTGGAGAACCTCCAGAGAAACCTCATTTCAACATTCTAGCTTTGCAAGAGTTCATAGAATGCTTTTAGCCATGTTATTTCCTAGATAGTATATACTATAACCAAAAAATGAGTGTATGCTAATTCCATACCTAAATGTGCTGTATGTGGGAAAGAATGACATTGCTCAGAACAGAGGGTCTGCATTCCCTCATTGCTATTGTGCAACTCATATGGTACCTGGGAAAGATAATCATAATTACTACTGGATTTCCAAAGTGCTATTTCTGATTTTTTCAAGGACTCATGGCCTGCATATGTGAACAACTACAGTCCTGGAAACATTAAGAACATTAAAATTAGATATTCCTTTAATCTTCTCTATTTTGCCTTCCTTTCATATCCTTTCCTACAATTCTAACACTTTCACTGATGTATGAATCCTGTATTTTCTACTTTGTTGCAAACAGATGCCCCAACTACATCTCTACCTTTGTAAGCTTTGTGTGTATATCTCACATGCTACTTTAAGAAAAGCTATTTATTAATGAAAATCTTTTAAGTATTTTAATGGTTATTTTTTAAAAAATAATAAATTCTGTTGCTCTGAAATATCTATCATGTTAGTACTGGAAGGTGCTCTTTTATTTTTCTCAGTTAAAAATGTTGATTAAATGTTTGTTTGTTGTCAGATTCTTCAAAGGATGACAATATTATAAAAGACAATGAAGTAACAGATCATTCTGTGTGTGACCAAGATCATCCCAATGGTAAGATGTGAGATCCTTTTATAGTTTATATTTATATTTTTTTCCTCTTGGAAAACATTCCATCTACAAAAGCAGATTTGAGTTTTTCTGGAGAAAAATTGAATTCTGAGGTATTTTCTTAGTGCTGAACACCAGCTGATTGGTAGCTGACATCTTGAGATAGGGTTTCTGCTTTCCACAGTCTTCATTACCCATTATTTGTGTACCAGGCTGGCTTCATTTATTTTGCTTATTGTTACCTGCCTGTATTCTATAAGCATTGGGTTGGCAACTATTGAAATGAATGTGTGATAAGAATGAGAATAAATGTGAGACATATGGAGAATAAACCCAGGAGATTAAATCTACATATCCTTGGAATACCAAGAAGACCGAATAGAACAAACAAATGAAGCAATCTTTAGAAAACTAATAGGAAAAAAGTTTTCCTAATGCAAACCAGTTTCGCTGCCCAAAACATGAGAGTATGCATTATATTTATAGGCAAATAAAATGAAAACTCAAATGAGAACAGACACCTACATAGCCTCATGGAATTTCTGAAGATCAATGATAAAGGCTTTCAAAGCATACAAGAAAGTCTAAATCGGGTTATAAGTAATATCACCAGAATCAGATTAGCTTTAGCCTTCTTCTTCYGCAACCCCAAATGCTTAGAGAAAATGAAGTAACATTTCCAGAGCTCTAAAGGACACAGTTTCTATATTTAGTGATGTTATTATTCATGCATGAAGTCAAAAGTAATATTTTCTCAGGAATACAAAGATTAAGAAAATATGCTACCCAGATATCCTTTCTGAGTGAACTAACTAAAGGCCTGTACAAAAACAATAAATATAGGAAGGAATGTAAAATCTAAAAACAAAAAGGCACAGTTTAAAGGAACTATATGGTCAGACCAATTAAATATATGAAAATGTTAACATAATTATTTCAAAATAAGCATCCAAATATTTCACCTAATTTTTTTTTTTTTTTTTGAGACAGGTTTCGTTTTTGTTTTTTTTGCTGCCAGGCACTGAACTCAGGGGCACTCAACCACTGAGCCACATCCCCAGCCCTTTTTTATATTTTAGTTATAGGCAGGGTCTTACTGAGTAGCTTAGGGCCTCGCTAAGTTGCTGAGTCTGGCTTTGAACTTGCAATCCTCCTGCCTCAGCCTTCCCAGCTGCTGGGATTACAGGCATGTGCCATGGCACCCAGTTGAGACAGGTTTTTCTAAGTTGTTGTGGGTCTTGCTAAATTGCTTAGCCTGGCCTCCAGCTTGTGATCATCCTACCTCAACTTTCCAAATACCTTAGATTACAGGCAAGTGCCACCATGCCCAGCTAGAAATGTTTTAACTGAAATTTATGGTATATGCTGTTCAAAAATGACAAAGGTAAAGAAGAGACTTCTACTATCAGAAATGAAAGTCAAAATAATGTAGGCCATTTCTCTCATTAAAGATAACTAGACAATTTAGATAAAACTATATATATATTACATGTATATGTGATATGTTATCTGATTACATTATATGTCATATGGTATTATGTTTATCACAGAAATACGTGTCACACATAATATGTATCATTTAATAAATTATACACATATATATTTTATATGTATTGTGTGAGGGGGAGAAAAAAAAATGACAGAGTTAGAAAACATCAGAGGGTTGATAAGATAGCTAAGACTTATCAAACTAAACCCAGAATTTGAAACTGTTCTTTACCTTAGGAGAAGGTAAGCATTTTTTGGCTGATTCTGCAGAAAATTGTCTGGAGTCCTATTGATGAAAAGGAAAAGGGACCGTACTATACCTACCACCCTATATTTTGGGCTGAAAACCTAAAGATACATATCCCAGAAGAATAAACCCACAGTATATCTATTTTCTGAAAGCTGTTTTCGATTTTCAAGTGATCTCCATCCCCAAATTAAATTAAGAACAGCTCAGATTGTTAACTCTCCCCAGGCACCTGAGAAAAACACTTGTGAAATATTTATTAGAGGAAAAAAGCACCTTGTAGACTTCAAACTTTTTTTTTTTTCAAATTTGTGAAATATAATGTCTTGCTGGGGATGGAGGCATACACCTATAGTTCCACCAACTCCAGAGGCTGAGGCAGGAGGATTGTAGGTTTAAAGTCAGCCTCARCAACTTAGACAGGCCCTAAGCAATTTAGTGAAAACTCATCTCAAAACAAAAAAAGCTGGGAATGTCGCTCTGTGGTTAAACACCCCTGGGATCAATCTCCAGTACCAAAACAAATAAATAAAAACATAAATCACATCTAGCACACACATACCAAAAAAGAGCTCCACACCAAAATGAGTAAATAAGATAATGTGAAACAGAATATGAAGAAATGAGAGAAATAGACCCACATGAGCTGAAAATATTAGGGTTATAAGTACAAAGTATAAAGTAATGATGAAGACTGTGTATAAAGGAATAATGATAATATTGAAAATTTTATCTGAGAACTAGATATTGAAAAGAAAAAAAAGCCTAGAAATAAAAGATCCCATAATTGAAATTAATGATTCAATGAATAGATTTATGGTTTAATAAGATATTAGATGCAAATGAAAAAGAATTTGTGAACTCTAAGTTAGGTTAGAAGAATATATCCAAACCAAAAACAGCGGGCAAAAGGATAGCAAAGCCTCAAAAAAAAGGAAAAGATCACATGTTAATGGAGAGAMTTGGTCAGGAGCAACATTTGAAGAAACTATAATGAGAAATTTCCCACATTGATGAAGAACATTAGGCCAAATGTCCCCAAAGCCTTTTGAATTCAAAGCAGAATAAATAAAAATAATTCCACAACTAGGTCTATTATAGTAAAACTGCAGAAACCAAAGATAAACAAAACTAATAAAAAGCAAACTTCACTTGTACCCATAGTTGATTTTCCAATAAATATAATGGAAATAAAATAACAGTACGGCAACATAGCTGCCAACCAAGAATTCTCAACCCAGGAGGGAAAAAACATGTTTCAAGAATATAGGTTAATCAAGACTATTGCCAAACAAAATAAAAAGCATAGCTCATCACTGCTTTCTGGTGTTCTACAGTTAGGAACATACTCATTCCAAGTAGAAGGTCAAAGACAAAGGAAGGAATTAGAGCAAAGTAAATGGTAATTGGATAAAGCAAAATGAATATTGATGGTATTAATCAATAGTGATAATAATCATAATGCCTTGTGGGAATTAAGATACACATTGCTTTAAAATATTCCACCATAATGACGTTTACTGAATAAGATAAATTTAAATGTTCTGGTGTTGTCCGTTGTCATGGAAGGTAATAGTACCAATTAATTTTCAAATTTCATAAGACTCATGCTTCCCCAAGAGTCAGGAAATGCGATGAGCCCTGTGATTGCCCCAGCTGACTGCCTGGAGAGTTTCTAGGTTATGGTTCAGAGAAGAATGACTCCAGCTCTGGCAGAGTCCTGTAGCCTCTTACAGGACGGAGGATCTTTTACAGACTCTTATTTTTGTCCAGGAGACAGAACTAAAGATCCTGGGAAGCTCAAGTGGCAAGAGTTTGCAGGGCAGAGTAATGGAGAAGAGAGAGTTCCACAGAGGGGACACCTCAGAGATCCCCAAAGGGAATGCAGCAGTCTTCCCCTGAGTACTCTTTGGTGCATGCACATTTTAAAGGGGACTACCCCAGGCTATGTAAATAGGCTAAATGGCTTTAGGGAATTATACCTGAAGTTTATATGGAACTGGAATGAGTGCCTATTGCCACCAGACCCTGGAAAAGTTATTAATTCACAGAGACCTCAGAAGAGTTTTGCTTCTGTAATAGAGCAAAACAAGCAGTAGACCAAAGGCTACTCTCATCCTCCATCATAAACTTAAAATGTTAAGACATTAAAGGATCAAATTATTTCTGAGTGGGGTTGTTGCTCAGAGATAGCTAGCCCTTGCCTAACGTGTATGAGGCACTGGGTTTGATCCTCAGCCCTACATAAAAATAAATACAATAAAATATTGTCCATCTACAACTAAAAAAAAAAGAAAAGAAAAATTTTAAAAATGTTTCTGAGTAACCTAGCTACATTCCAGAATTTAAGAATTTAAGAATATTTATAAGTGTATAAATATATCTCACATCCCACAAAGTAAAATTGAGACAAAATTTCCAGGAATGAAAAGAAGCAATTGGAAGATACTTCTCTGTGGCTCTTTCCTATCTCTGCACATCTTGGGAGCAGAGGTCTGGTTCTGACCAGTTGTATCAAGAATGTTTATATAGCAAACAACCTTGGAAGACAAAGAACAGGCTTGCTGATAGCCTCAGAAGATAAGAGTAGTGTCTCCCTCAGATCAAAGAGCAGATATACTTAACTGTCCACAATAAAAGGTCCAGATTCTTGTCCACAATAAAAGATCCAGATTCTCCAGATTCCCTTTGATACAACCCACCAAGTATGCAACTATCACATATCCCCCTGATAATACCCTGAGGGAACTGTGCTCAGGGAATGGGAAAAAGTACTTTGGTTATTGCTATTGATCTGAACACTAAATTGTTCTTCATCTTTGACCTCAGAAATCTAAGTCTTTTGTCAGCATCCATGGAATCATGACGACTAGTTAACTTGTTAATTTGCAAGTAGAACAAAATCTCAGATCCTTCACAAAATTTGACAGGAAGCAGGAATATATGACTTGCAGCAGAAGTCAATTAATATAAATCAATTCAGAAGCAGCTCAGATGAGATAATTAGTATGACAGAACATACTAAAAGTTATAATAGCAGTATTCCATATCTCTAAAAAGCTAAAAGAAGTATTTATTATGTTAATTCATGACATGGAAGATATCAAAAGACCCAAATTGAATTTATAGTGATGAAAAGCAGTGTCTGAGGTAAATTACACTTAATGGAAAAACAATGGCAGAGAAGACACTATAGAAGAAAAGATTAGTGAATTTGAAGATGTAGCAATCCAAATTGAAACTATCCAAACTGAAACACAGAGAGAAA